ATACATACATGCTTGAAACACAGGATTTTCATGAGTGACAGTGCTAACGGAAAAGTAGTGTTCAGGAAATACGCACGCCTCATATTTATTAACTTCCCCCATGGCTCATGCCCGTGCCCTGCGATGGGGCGGTTCCTCATGGCGCATTCATTACACCCGCGGTGGGGCATGGGCCACGGGGGAGGTTAATAAACATGAGGCATGTGCATTTCCTGGACCTATGTCACTTTCCCTGTTAGAATTGTCACTCATGAAAATCCTATGTTTCAAGCATGTATACATAGTTGGGGGGGGGATGGGGCGACCTCTCATGGTGCATTTGTTGGACCCTCATGACCGTTCATCGGGCTTCATGACCATGTATTGTCAGACCCCGTGGACGGTTTTTATGCATTCGTCGGCCCCTCATGACCGCTCATCGGGCCTTGTGGCCACACGGTAATGTGTCCCACGCCCCCACTGCGGTGCATCACGTCACGTGTTCCGACTTGGTCGAGCCTTGCCGGTGCACATGGGCATGTGCCCCCCCACTGGGGTGTCCACGAGGCGTGTGTGCCGTGCATCAGCGTGTGAAGCCCGCACCTTCGAGGGTAGTGATGCGCCTTGCCCGCACCACGTGGTGTGCCTAGCTTCATGTATGGGGCATGGGCCATAGGGGTAAACATGAGGCGTGTGCATTTCCTGGACCTATGCCACTTTTTCAGTTAAAACTGTCACTCATGAAAATCCTATGTTTCAAGCATGTATACATAGTTGGGGGGTAGGGCGACACCTCATGTGTTTCGAGAAGGGCATTTTTGTAATTTTAGCTTACCTTTAAAGTCCAATCATCATTCAAAAAGTTAAAGGAATCTTTTTGAAATTGAGTTTTGGAACGATTTTAAAAATATAAAATACCCTTTTTAAAGTACATGAAAAATTTATATTAGAAAGTCATTTTTTACCATATAAGGGTATTTTATGGTAAAAAAAAATTTGAGTAATAAATTCTAAGTTCACCATTAGCGTGGTGTATTCTAGAATAACCTATATATATATATATATATATATATATATATATATATATATATATATGAGAGAGAGAGAGAGAGAGAGAGAGAGAGAGAGAGAGAGAGAGAG